GAATACAGCCATTAGATTACATAAGCTTTAATTACCAGCCAGTGCTGACTTGTGACTCTTACTTGGAAATTACATGTCGTCCTTTTTATTTAATTTAGATTTTCATTTGCTTTGCCTTATTCCACTTGTTCTAAGAAGAAAAAAGTTTATTATTCATACAGCAATCTATAACACAGTTTCATAGCCTAATCTTACTTAGACATATGCTTAACTTTAAGGTTAGAAGCAGCCTTCTTAAAGCACAAAGGCTACTTTGTATTAGAAAGCATTTGTCTAGTTCACTGGTTTTGTTTACACTACAAAACCCCACCACCATTACTATGCCACTATTGCTGTAGGATAGATGGAGCATACAGCTAAAGAAGTAATCATGACGACTTCTCCAAAGAAGAAAGACTAACATAGGGAAAAAAAGGAAAAAAAAAAAAAAAAGAAAAAAAAAGCAGCAGTACTAGCTGGCACAAAGGAGAAGTTAATTTTTCACAGATTCTCAGGTTGACCTAACTGCCAGCGACATGTTATAATTGTGTAATTTGGGCCTTTCTTTATTCCCAAATGAAACACGGTATTTAGCAAGTCTTTGGAAAAGATAAGAGTACATTAAAAATCATTTTAGCTCTTACTCAAGTTAAGACTTACCTAAGCAGAGACAGAAATGATCTTTGCCATATGAAACTATAGCTCGTGGGCTGTTTCCATGGCAATCTACGCTTCACAATTTTCAGAAATGGAGTGAAACATTGAAAATGACCAATGTAACTTGGACCAGTAGTTGCAAAAGTTTCAAGGAGAGTTATTAACCACAGGACACCAGTTTTGAAAAAGAACTGCAGATGCTTTTGCATACTACTATATGCACTGTTTCCAAAAGCACTTGCATTTCATTTTGCCTGTTTGACCCAATATCTTTAATTTTTAGTGTTTAGTCTTTTGCTTTGGAAAACCAAAAGTTAAGTTGCACTTAGGACACAGTGATATGAGCTTGGCTCAGAGAGAATTTTTTTTTTACCCCTGCAACAGATTTATAAAATCTGTCATAATTAGGAACTAGATGCCCAAGAGAGGAAAGCAGGAAAGTTGCAGACTAGGACTAAGTACTCATTCTAGAAGCCTCCCTCTGTGCAGCTCTGCCAATGCATATTTATCAGACTCTGCAAACCCTGCACTACCCCAGCTCTGCTGAGTCTCCTCCTGAGAACAGACTGTCAGTCATGTCAAACTGGGTGTTAAAAACTGCTGGGATTTTGTGGCTTGAGCATATGTTTTCTAAAGACAAAACTGGAATCAAGCTCCTTTTCCACTGGGAATGAAACACACTTCTGAACTATGATGTTCTTATAAAGAATCAACCACACCATCCCTTTCCCCTCCTCTTCTCATTCTCTGGAACCTGAAGACAGATACAGTTTCTCAAACGGTTTGAACAAGGAGCTTGCCTAAGTCTCACGACATACATGGTATGACTAGAATCAGAAACTTGCTTTTTTAGACCTGTGGAGAGCTGAAATGTTCCATATGCAGGATTTGCTGTACATTCATGCAAGAGAGAAGAGACAGCACACTCCATCTATAGAAACTTCTGTAGTTTTTATTCTTAATGACCCAGCTCCCCTGCTGCTTCATGTCTCTCTATCTAGCACTCTAGCTCAAAGTTGAGGGTATAACAAATATGTTCATGCATGGAGGGAGGATGATTAGACTGACATGGCCTCCTTTTCTCAGAACTTTTCTGTTAGAGAAGTAGGGATTCCCTACAGAAGTAGGAAATTTAGGTACCTCTTTTTGTATCAAAATGCACAGCTAAAACATGCTTTAATTACTAACCTAGATGGAAATGCTAATAAAAGCACGTGACATCTCCACGAATTCCAGATTCACTGAAATCAGTGCTTTTACAACAAAAACCAAGTGAAGTACAGCAGGAACAGGCGAGGGTATTAAGTGTGGTTGCTTTGAGGGGCCAGTTGTTTAACCAGCAGATTGTATTCAGGATGTTGCAGGGCAGGATTGAGGTGTAATGCTACAGCTGCCCAAGGAGAACCCACACTGTGCCTGGCTACATAATAACGGCTGTGATTTCTACACAAGCATCTTTCAATTATACAATACACTCTCCTACACTCTTGTTACCGGCAAATTCTGCACCTGCTGTATGAAGTTTGGTTGAACACTGATCATCAGAAACTTCAAAAAAGGAAAAAAATTCTCTTTGACGATATGTTTGGAGGCATGTTAATTCTGTTCTTGCTCAATATGAGATTGAATGTGGTGATCCTACAAATGGAGGACCAGTAGCCTAACTTTAGAGATTAATATAGAACAAGCAAACTTCTTCACTGGAAACATACGGTCCTTTCAAATGCCTGTTTTGCTTGGCTTATTGGACAATGCCAGCTAGGATGCATTCCCTGATGTACATTTAGGGGTTAGAAGAAGAGACATCTCTATGTCTGTTTTCAGTGATGATCCTCAAATCAGATGGTGAACTTGCTACTGACATCATCCACTCCAATCACCTCCAACACTCCTAATTCATTCCTCCTAATGCAGTACCATGACCTGTCTCCATCCTTCATTCCTGCAACTAAATAGATCCTAGCAACTAAAAGAAGCCTTCTTTCCAATTATAATTTTTAAGTACATGCTAGTCTCCAAGATAACATTGTTTGCACATGGCAACCAATGCAAGGAATCTTGGCTCTAAATCAATTTTCAGCTGAGGTTGTTGTTTGTTTGTTGTTTATTCTCCAGCTTTCTTCACCGTTGCCACTCCAAAGACAATGATGCAGAGAGGAGGGTTTCTGAGGCACGGCCCTCTCCACATGTAGCCATAGCATCAACAGATGCTTAAGAAGCCTGTGGTTTCTCGAAGCTAAGGAAAAAATGTCTGTAAGAAGCTCTGTCTCTTCTTTGAGAACATCTTCCCTTTCTAGTGAAGAATTTAATGCTTAGTGAGAAAAGCTAGTTCTAGGCAGGAATGGACTTAGATTTGTCTTTAAGTACGTTTTGAGCAAACAAGCGAGATGATAGGTTATCTCGAATGTAACTAACTGTACTAAAGTTTCATTAGCTATATTGGATTTTATCTTGATCACCTCTGCTGAGCCAGATAAATCCTTTGAGATGAGCAGTACTGCTAACCAAACAGCTAATATGGTCTTGACAAGGGCAGAATCCACCAGACTTAGAAATATCAATGTTAATTCCCTTTGTTTTGATTTCGTGCTTTTAATTAGATATATTTCCAAATTACATAATTCTGCCTTTATAATGGCAGAATTGTTTATAACTTTGCTAATTGCTCAGATCAGTGGCTTATGTAAAACAGGGACACTTCCTTTAACACAAAAAGAGACTGTTTAAACCTTTGAGCTGTGCGATTCCTATTATTTACAGAACATTTGGAAACATACAGATTAGAGTCTCCTCAAAATGGATGCAAGTACTAGGAGGAAAAAAACGCAAGACACTAACCACTAGGATAACTCATGTCACCATAAAAATGTGTATTTATAAGAGATCTCTTAAAAACAACAATCAAAATAGACAAAACTCCCCACATCCTTGCAATACAAAGCCAGTTTACATGGAATAATTCAGAAGTCTAATGGAAATAGATATAGTTTTAAAATTTAACAGGATTTTAACATTCAGAAAAAATCTGCACAGAGCATGATACAGGTTTTCAGTGTTGTTTTGCTTTTATTATGTCTATTCTAGCATTGTTTTTCTGCTCCTAGCCCTCATCTAACATGAAGATGCTACTTCTGGAAAGACTCGTAAAGGCTATGTGTTTGTAGTGAAAGTTGCTCTTATGTTTTGGAGAATTTCCTCTCTCCATCTGCACTCTAGCCAACCTCTTAAGCAGTCTTTACTGAGTCTTTTTCCATATTATACAAGGCGAGCGTTTGCATTCTTTTACAAAGCCTACCAAAAATAGGCAAAAGTTTAAATGGTGTTCTGAAACCACCATAAGGGAGTGATTACTAAGACTGTTCCAGCAGAGGACTGGAGGCAAATGTAAGGAATAAGGTGGAGGACTGGAATGCCCCACTCCAGCTTGCTATAAGAAGACACTAGCACATGACATGAATGAGAGTCATCCTCCCTGCTAAATAATTATCACTTATTATAAAGCAGTGTATTGAAACTATCTCCTTAGTAAACGCTTTATATTCTGTGCATGTTTTATTAGTCTATTTGTCCTGTCAAACAGGCTGATCACTTCCCTATTTCAATCCACTTCCTGTAACACTGTTGGATAACATCTCTGAGAGACATTACTAAACTGAACAAGTGATATAGACGTATGCCCACACACAGTTTAATACCATTTCTCTTTTTCTAGAGGTGCTTTTTATTGAGGGAATTGGTTATTTTCTCTTCAATGTACATTTATGCCTCTCAATTTTGGGATCTAACTGTGCTCCGTGTGCTAAAACCAGGTTGTAAAGCCTTCTGAGGGGCTGCAAGCAGCTCTTCCAAAGCCAGAATAAATAATCTGACTTTAATGAAATAAGATTGACTGTAGTAACAGGTTTACTTCGAAAAATAAATGTCTAAATGGGAAGCTGGGATAGTCAAGCAACCAGTGTGTATTTATGTGTATGCTTTCAAATTACCATCTACGCTTGCGCCATAATCTGATACCAGAAATAGGCTAAATGAATACAACGCTGTTATTACTATTATTATTTTACAATGTTCAGGAATGTACAGATGCTTTACAGTACAGATAGAGACTGTCCCTGTTGCAACAATGCAACAGGGGTAGCAGGTGGATCTCTGATCCCTCTGATTCACTGTAGAAATCTTTACACAGGTGAATCTGTTTGTGGAAGCATAAATTTCATGCTTCCTTCCTTCCTTCCTTCCTCCCACAGAAAAAGCAACCATGGCAGGGAATCTGGCTTTCTTTTGAAGTAAGAGAATAAATGTAAAAAGAGTTTACTTAGCCATAATCAGATATACAATATACAAGAAAAGAAAGCGACCTTTACCTGTGAAATAAGACAGATTTGACAAGTGTGACAACATCTCGACTGGCATTGTACCCTGCACAAACAATGGCAACGTGGATGGTCTGTGGGAGAAAAAGAACAAAAAGAACAAAAATTAAAGCCTGTTCCTGTGTTCCATCGTTCATTGAGGAGAGCACATACATGACAGTGCTATTATTTAGTGCAGCGATTGTTAAAGATTTGAGTGGGCATTTTGCAGCTGTTTGCAGCCCAGTTGAGGCAGTTTGTTAAAAACTACTTAATTGAGTTATAACACCATCATCATTCCAAAGTCATTACTATCCCTCAATTACATCGGATGTCTGAACAGAATTGCATTTATTAGCTAAAAGCATATGTGTGCGCGTATGTACACACAAACACTCCCGTTTAGCAGCACACAAAATTCTGAGTATGCAAACACGCAGACACTTTAACCTTCTGAACTGAAGCTTAAAATTATGTCTGATAATTAGAAGCAGATACGTTCTTAGAAATTTTGCATTATTTCCATCTTAATGACAGCTACGAAGGAGATGGTAAGCAAGCTCTGATGGATGACCATGAGTGGGAATATTGGTTTGCCAGGGGCTGGGTGCATCCCAATGATAAGACAGGACACAAGCTGTGAAGGCAGGCAGTCACTTCCCTGCCTCTCACTACCAGTATGGGCTGTACTGGGCAGTGTTAAATACAAACCCCACGCACACATTCTCCCCACTCCAGCACCGTGGTAAATCATCACTTATTCTGTGCCGCCTTGTCTCCCTTTTAATATGAGGCAGAGGTTTACTCATCTCTTCAAGACGAAAGGGAAAATTGAAACAGCGCTACTAGTCATTATTATTACGGTAGTAAGTAATAATTTGGAAAATGCTGCTAAGTTACTCTGGTTTTAAAATTAGCCATTGCTATTCCCTGGGGACAAAAGAAAATTAATCTTAGCAAGTTTTGACTCCAGCGACTGTATTTTTCTGTTTCTTAGTGGTCACAGAAATGAAGGAGAGTTCACCACGCTGGCAGCACAAAGCTGCGATTGGGGACACAGCTGTGAAACTGCAGGGAAGCCTCATTTGGCTTCCATTTGAAGCTTGGTTAGCTGGTTTCTCACACACATAGCTCTCATTTTCCACTGAACGCCCACTACGCAGAGAACAAATGAGGAATTCTGGCTCCTCACACAGTCATAGATTCCCAAAGTCTGGCTTGTAACAGAAGCAGATTTACACAAGAGGTGGCATGTGCTGGGCATGTCTAAAGAGTCCACAGCCCCATCCATTAACATCGCCTGGTACAGGGCACGATTTGGATCATATAATTGCAAGTGGCTGTGCCATTGTGCAACCCTCACATGAACATCACAGCTGCCTCCAGCCCTAGTGTGCCTCACAAGCTGAGGCACATTAAAGATCTGAGGTTTTAAGAGGACTTGAATTAATAAGGCAACTGTCTGTCCAGAGAGGTGTGAGAAAGAAAAGATACTGCCATATGTTTTGGCAACAGCTCTGTGAGGTATTCAGCACTTTAAACTTATGTTAAAGTGCATGGGAGTTGAGCATGCTCAGTACTTTGCAAAAATTGATTGTGTTTCTCTCTTGTGGTAACAATAGGGGAGAACCGAGGCTGCTTATTATGGACTTTTATTGCAGCAGGGGTTTGTGCTATACTTATGGGCATGGGTTCCTGTGGGTGCACAGATTCCTGACACTGCATGCAACGCCTCCTCTCTGGTTGCCACCTGGTCTTTCTCAGGCTTTTGGAAGACCCAAGATCCTTCCCTTCAATATAAATTAAAATCAAATTAATTGAGAATAGTTTCATGCCTCCTTTAAACACTTCACCTGAAGACACTGGAACAGACACAAACATGTTATGGGTTTTGACAGAATAGCACTGCCATATCACTGTCAACATCACGTCATACTACCTCTATTTGCCAGAAAAGCTCTCCTCACAGCCTCTCTCCACCTTAGTACTCTCCTCAATCTCAGAGTTCATTCTGTCAAGGACTTGCCCACATCTGTTCTCCTTTTCCTAAATAAGTTTGTTTCAAAATTAAAGGCATGCTTTCCTCCCTGTTTTCTAGCAGGTACTGTTGCCTTGCACGCTGTTTCAGCCAGGGCACAGTGAG